TTCAGGTGGTCCACGACAGCCCTTGCTGGAAGGATGTGTTACTGTTTGGCTGCATATCTTTTTCCCTTTTTTTTCCTCTTTTTTTTTAATAAAAAAAAAACAAAAAAAAACTTTGCATTTTATCCCAGGAGCTGTGCTGTTACAGCCCAGCTCTTCCACAACAACCCCAGGACCTGTACCCTATATACCAGGTAAATCTCATCTGGGGTCTGTCCCAGCTCCTGCTGTAAGGGAACTGAACTCACCTCTGGGTGTTACACGGGTGAAAAGCCTTGGGGTTTAATGTTAACTTAACCTGTGGGTGGGTTTGATATTTCCTCCATCCCTTTGGCTGGGTGAAAACAGAGCAAAAAAAACAACTCAGCCAGGCTGAGATTTCCTGCAGATGCATCAGCAAGCTTTTATCGCCTGTTTTCATTTGATTTGGTTCTTTTCCAAGGGAAGAGAAGTAATTTCTCATGATGTGTCCCACGTCTTGTCCCTATATGCCCAGGACCTGTCCCTGTTCCTGGTCCTCGGGGCCCACCGGGGTGGGCTAAAGAGGGGCTGTGCTCACGGGCTGAACCCGACCTGTCCCAGACCTGCATGGGGGTGCAGGAAAATCTCCTATTTACAGCCTGCAGTGGGGGATTATCACCACGGGTGAGTTATTCAGCCTGCTCTGCAAACCCAAAGCCACTGCATGGATGTGTGCAGCAGAGGGGAGAGGAGACGGAGCCCTCCTGGCTGCTCTCCACCCTGCCATGCGATGCCCACACGCTTTGAGCAGTGGGACCTCAATCCCTTGTGGCCAGAGACCCCCCACCAGCCTTTTCTCAACCTCCTGCCTCTGCTTTTGTGAGGCTGCCGGGCCATAAAGGCTGATTTATCTGCTGAGAGTGGAAACACAAATAAAAAATGCCAGCAGCGCTGACAGATCTTCCCCCTCCCACCTCCCAGGAAGGCATAAAACTTTAACAAGGAAATGAAACTAAGTTTGTGCAGCGAGGTTAAAGTTGCATGAGGACCGTTTTTGTGCTCGGTGCTGGCTGTGATCTCTGCTCAGCTCCAAACCCAGCCCTGTGCTGCCACACGACCCCCAGATCCTGCAGGAGCAAGGACATCATTTCCAGCTTCAACCCGGCCCCCAAGCCCATTTTTTTGTGGTCAAAACAGTGATTTTTGGCTTGGGAAAGAGCATCTGCTGATGGGGTCCCAGCCCTGCAGGGGGGTGATGCTGGCTGGGGGGCACCAGGAGGCTTCCCCTGCTTGGGACCTCCCAGCCCTGTGGATGCAGCCCTGTCCCTGTGGGTCTTTTGGCAGGGTTTATAAGGTGATAATTAGCTCCAAATGCTTCTGTCAGGGTTTTAGCATCTCTGTTCATCTTACCTTAAACAGCTGAAGTGGGAAATCTGTTTGGGCTGGTGGCACTGGTGACGTTGGTGACATGGGTGACAAGGACAATGAGCCCATTTTGCCTATAGCCAGGGAGCACTGGGCATCTCTTAGATGGCAGCTCACTGTTGTGCTCATTTTCTAAGGGCTTTGGTCTTTTTTTGAAGGGTTTTGAGTGGCCTTCATCCCACAGGCACGTGGAAAGGGGGGATTCCTGGAGGATGTCATAAGACCTGTTGAAGAGCTCACGTCCCACCTTTAAACCCCCTTTTTTTTGTCTCTGGCAAGATGTGGCTGATGGCACAGGATGCTCCCACGGGGTCTGGGTTTTGGAGGTGAGGATGTCAGTAGATGGAGCTGTTTATTAATGTTTCCGTGTAATTTACAGTGCGTAAGGATGCTCCAGTGCCATGCGGGCCTGTGCCTTGCTCAGCACCAGGAAAAAACCTGCTGGGGTCCCTCTGTCCCCAGGCTGTCCCACGGTCCCTGCAGCCTCTGTTTCCCCTGGGATGGGTGGCTGAGAGCAGGAGGGGACAGATGGGTCCTCAGCTCTCGTCTGGGACCCCAGGTTGTGCAGTGCCCGGTGCTGTGTGGGGACCCTTGGTGTGCCAGGAGGTGCCAGGAGGTGCCAGGAGGTGGCAGGACACGGTGGGCATGCATCACAGTAGGATGGAGATGGGCAACTGCTCTTGCACAGGCACAGGTTAAAGCCAAGTTAAATTAGAGCCCTGTGGCCACCCAAACACAAGTTTTATCCCCAAAGAGCAGCAGAGATGGGTGGTGTCCCTGTCACCACGGCTGGGTCACACACCAAATGCCACCCTACCCCACACAAACCCGAACACTGCCTGTAGCATGGGGTCTGCCACATTTTCCCTAAATGCCCTCAGACTGGGATATCGTGCACGCACCCGCTGGTCCCAGTTCTGTCCTGTGCAACATTTTCTACCAGATTACACTTTTGGTAAGAGCTGCATTGCTATAGTGCAGCTTTCAGGGCAAATCCTTTTCAGGGTCACCCCTCGGTAGCATGGACATGGGACACCCCAAGGCTGGACACGTCCGAGGGCAGCAGAGCCTGGTTCCTCACGTCATCCAGGTCTGAGCTCTCCTCTGTGCAGGCATCTGGGAAATTATCCCCGGCTGCCACAACACTAATTTTAATTTTAAAGAAATGAGCCATGAACTGTTGAAAATAATAATTTTCAATATGAACACCTGAGAGGCTGCTGTGGATATCTGCCAATATATTAATTTTATCTTAAATTCCACCAGGCTGAAAATCTGCTCGTTAGCGAGATGGAGGAGAAATACGTCGAGATGTGAGCGGGGCAGCTGGGGAAGAAGAGAGGAGAACCCAGTGTGGTGGGGACAGGGGGGAGCTCTGCCCTCCTGGGAAAAAGCAAAAAGCTGGAAAACTGGGAGAGGGAAACCTTGGAGGACAGAATAAAGAAAATTATGCGAAATCAAGAGGAAGAAATCCATTTTTTAAGCACTTCAGTATTTTGCTGGGAGTATTCGCCGACTTTGGCCAAAGAAACCTTTAGGGGGTGTTGAATTGAGGTATATAAAAGGTGCCATGGAGGAGCCTGAGGTCACCCCACCACTGTGACTGTCGGCCATCAGGAGAAGCACCAAAATGGGAGACACCTTCATGAGGCTTGCTCAGATTATTTTGGGTTATTCTTTTCCATCCACAGCATCAGAGAGCCCTTTTGAGCCACAGGGTTTGCTCTTGCAGGAAAGCACCATGACCGTGGTGCAGGGCTGAGAGGTGGCTACTTCAGCACACACGTTAATCAGCACATTAATTTTCTTGGAAATGACCGATTTGGCCATTTTGCCAGTTTGCTGCTGGCTGCCCCTCAGATGGCTGCGGCAGTGTGGGTGTGCACAACGTGGGCATCTTCTTGTGCCCTGCCAGGCACAGCGGGATGCAGAGCCCGCCTCTCCTTTCCATCACTTGAATACCCAAAGACATCACAAAATTGATGATTTTGCTGTGTAACAGCGGTTCAGGTGGCCTTCTAATGGCCCTATGTGCCAGCTG